TCGTCTGAAATCAGATTTACAGAAATATTTGAAGATCGTAGAAACCTATAAAAGCTTAAACCTTACAGAGAATAAAAAACTTAAACCGCGATCTGGACGAAAATGCAAACAAACCCGAAATATCGATGTAACACCTGTAACAAAAAGCATACAGGTAATGGCTCCTTCAGCACGAATTATGAATAATGAAGCGACAGTTAAATCAGCCGAAAATACACCTGAGGCTGAAAGGATTCCAGAGCCAATAAACGAAGATTGTTCGACACAGAATCCGAAAACACAGCCGCAAATATCTAAACTGAATATGCCACTAAATGACACAAAATTATCTCCACTGAATAAAATCTCAACACCAGAGAAGGACATCGCACCTTTGAAGAAAGTTACTACAACGGATGTTCGTAAAGATATCAAACATAGAAAATTGTGCGTACTAAGCAACAGCACTCGAAGAGGCATACTACAGGCTATTGAAGACAATTTTGCAAGTGACTTTATATACTGTAATTACTCTTCACCAAATTGTAATATAAAACAACTTTTAGCTGGTATTAAATCAAAATTAAGATATTTTAATATGAACGATTATTGTATAATTTTATTAGGGGAGACAGACTTTAAACGTAACGACAATTATATTAATTTAGTAAAAGAAATTAACGATAGTTTAACACAGGTGGCCCATACAAATATAATAATATGCACACCCACGTATATACGGGGAGCACCAATACATAACTTTAAGGTTGAAATGTTTAATAGTCTGCTCTGTATGGACCTACAATACCATAAATATGCGTACTTTTTTGACTCCAACTATGACCTTACACTTGACATGTTTTCATACAAATCAGGCAAAATAAATACAGCAGGAATTCAATGCATATTTAAAAATATAATGAAAAGAATTAAAATTGACTTAGAATTATTCCCTGACCTACCCAGTGACACAAGCGGACAAAGCTCACAGTTTTTTCTTTTATAATAATATTCGAATTTTACACCAAAATATAGCAGGTCTTATAAATAAATCTGACACTCTGACGGTACATTTAGAAGAGTTGGCACAAAATAACAAATTTGTAGACGTAATATGTTTAACCGAACATTTTATGACACCAGACCAAGAGAGCATACTTGATATACCCAATTTCCGCCTAGCAACAAGTTTCTCAAGAGACATAAAGAGAGGAGGTGTCTGTATATTAACTAGAATTGGTCATCAATATAAAGTATTAAAAACTAATTGTACAGTTAAAGGCGTAATAGGATGTAGCGCTATAGAACTAAGTCTTCATGGACTGATAATAGTTTGTATATACAGGGTGCCTAATTCTTGTATAAACGTATTTTTCAATAATTTAGACATGTTATTACGCCAAATATGTGATAATACTAACAAGAAAATTGTTTTATGCGGCGACTTTAATATAAATATACTGAAAAGAAACCGGCGAGCGCTAGATTTTGAATATATTTTACAAAGTCATAATTTAAAACTAGAAATTAAAGAGCCTACTAGACTTAGTAGTAACACATGTCTTGATAACTTTGCTCACAGTATTCATAAATGTAAAAGTGAAGTTATTGAATTTGGACTATCAGATCACACAGCTCAAATTTTACAATGTCCAGTCAAAAAAACATGCGTGATAAAATCTTGGCGTATTAAAAGACGTAATTATAGTAAGGAAAATCTCATAAAATTCAAAAATTGTATGAACAACTTAACTTTTTCTAATATTTATCACACAAACGACCCTAACGAAGCTTATAATCGTTTTCTAGACCTCTTTCTTTGCTTTTATAATCTATGTTTTCCATACAAAATAATAACTAGAACGTTACATAAAAAGTCAAAATGGATATCAAAAGGTATCAAAATTTGTAGTAGAATGAAAAGAAAATTATTATGGCAGTATAGGACTCATCCAACAAGATCAAATAAACACAAATTCAAGCAATACGCCTCTAAGTTTAAAAAAATTATATCACTAACGCAAAAGTCACAAAATAACTACTACATAAGTACATCCCAAAATAAATCAAAAGCAACATGGTCAGTTATAAACAAGACTAAATTTAAATTTCCCAAAGAGCCTATTACGGAAATATTTAACGACGATATCAAAATTAGAGATCCTATATCTATTGCGAATCACTTTAACGACTTTTTTATTGACCAAATAAAAGAATGGGAGCATAAAAATAAATCAAAAAATAACGACCTAACACATTCAAATCCCAAAATTAATACTAACGTAAATTCAGTTTTTCTTGTACCTACAATACCTATGGAGGTGGATAGAGAAATAAAACAACTGAAAAATACTCAAAGTGTGGGTTACGATGGTGTTTGCACTAAAGTTGTAAAGTATGTGTCCTCGTCAATCGCTTCTCACTTATGCTACATAATAAATTTATGCATTTCTAACGGAATATACCCCGAAAAACTTAAAACTTCTATTGTTATTCCACTCCACAAAAAAGATGACAAAAAAAATATGGGAAACTATAGACCGATAACACTGATATCTATTTTTTCCAAATTATTTGAAAAAGTAATATATAATCGACTATACAGTTATTTAGAAAAGTATAATATTTTGGTAAATGAACAAAAAGGATTTCGCAAGGGTAAATCTATAAATACAGCTATTTATGACTTAATTAAAACGATTTTAATCAGCATGGATAAAAGAAATCCGATATGTGCTGTCTTTATGGATATGAGCAAGGCTTTTGACCGTGTTGACCATAAGATACTTATTCAGAAACTTAGCTGGTATGGCATAAGAGGTAATGCGCTAGACCTCATTTCCTCTTATATGTTCAATAGAAAACAAATAACAGAAATTACACAAATATGCCAGAAAACACGAAATGAAATCAAATATAGATCTAACACTAGAACCATAAAATTCGGAGTCCCACAAGGGAGTGTCCTAGGTCCCTTACTATTTCTGGTATATATAAATGATCTCCCTAGACATATTGAACATCCAATGGTACTTTTTGCAGATGATAGCACAGTAATGATAAAATGTGATAGGCAAGACAATTACGAAAATGAAATCAATAAAACATTAAATACAATAATTCAATGGTTCCTAAAAAACAATCTTAAAATAAATATGGACAAAACAAAAATAATGCACTTTTATCAAAGAACACAACCCATAACTATACATGTAAGTTACCAAGGCAATACAGTATATCCAGTGACAAATATAAAATTTCTAGGAATTAATATTGACTATGACCTATCATGGAAAACACATCTAGATAATGTCTGCAAAAAAGTTAATCAATCCTCGTTTGCTCTTTACAAACTCTCCAAGATTGTCAATAAAGAAGCCGTTTTATTAGCCTATCACGGACTTGTTGCACCTATCCTAAGATATGGTGTAATATTTTGGGGCAACTCGGTAAATAAAGAATCTGCATTCAAAGCTCAAAAGAAATGCATCAGAGCAATGTGCCATCTGGATAATACTACAAGCTGTCAACCATATTTTAGACACTTAAAAATTCTGACATTGCCTTCGATATATATCTACGAAATAAATCTATTTGTGAAATCAAATCCAAATTTTTACAAGACTGCTTTTAAGAGCTACTATAGACAGTTACGCGACAAAAAAAGATTAGACATAGAAATACCGTATGGAGATACAGCACTACTCAATAAAAGTATTCTTTGTATGGCATCACTGATTCACAACAAACTACCAGATGATGTCAGAAAGTTGCCTATCTCACGATTTAAGAAGATATTACACAAATTTCTGATTAATAAATGTTATTATAAAGTCAAAGAGTACCTAGAGGACAAAAGTATTATAATTTAATAGCAATAGTTTTAATTTAATTGTAACTTAATAATAATAATTTGAATTTAATTATAACTGAATAATAGTAATTTATACATTTACCTAATGTATGTGACACATTGTAACAATTTAATAATATTAGTATATTAAATTATAATTTAACTTAAATTTTGTATGACAACATTTTTGGATTTGATTATTCTTATTATCAAAAATATTTAATTTCGAGTTTATATAATATCAAGGTATTTAGTATGACAACAACTAGCACTATAGACTCAACTATTGACAATATTTTTTTTCTTATTCTTAATTTTATTTCAAAGCACCATTATTGAATTAGTAATGCGTAGACTATATTGTAAAGTATTTGCACACCTCATAAGGTAATAATACAGTGTACATATTCTAATTTTTTTGTAACAACTCTTATACCTGTATTATGCAAATAAATGAATTTGATTTGATTTGATTTGATTTGAAATCAAATGGAAAGATGGACACCAGCAAATTATTCCATTTCCTTGCTGTACACAATACAAAAGTCAAAGCAAACCGTCTGTTACTATAGTATATATATATATATATATATATATCCACTGTTGAAAAAAATGTTGAAATTGCCACCTCATAAAACGAAGGCAGCTTGTACATTCTCGTAGCTTCTTACATGTTAGAGCCACACTGCAGCTATGTTATGGTTATAGGGTAGGTATGGTTATATGGGTCGGCTCGACCCAGGAAGGACCACGCTCTCACAGTACACCAGCGTAAAATAGCAGTTTAATACTGCTGTATTTCGTATGGTGAGTGAAGAGAACTCTTTTAATGGAATTGAGGCATTCCATCGTAGTCCTCAGGATTGACAACGCATGTGCATTTTGAAGGTATATGTAGACGTTTATGGGCCACAGTAACCACTTACCGTAAGGTGGACTGTGTGCTCATTTGTCGCCCCATTCTATAAAAAAATACCTTGTGGACAGTAAATAGTTTAATTATAAAGTCATCATTATCATCCTTGCAGCCCATCACAAGTCCAGTGCTGAACATAGGTTTCTCCTACGGAATGCCATAAGTTGCCTGCATCCATTGACTACTTGCATCTCTTACCAGGTCGTCGATCTATCTGGAGTCCATCATAATAGAGTACAAAAATATATTCACCACAGGTTTACCCCTCTCCGCTTGTTGCAGACAACAATTTAGTATTTCATCATCTGGCACCTCGCAAGGGTATATGTGCGAATTTGCATCACGAAGAGACTGACCTAAAACAATTAAATGTGTTAAAAATAATATACAAATTATAATAACACTTAGTCTCATATGAATAGTGAATATGTAACCAAGTAAAATTCCGAGAATGAAAAACTTTTTCATTTTACACTTTTCTAGCTCTTTTCCTTCGATAAACCTTATTTCTAATAAATCTAATCTAATATCGAATAAATCTTATTCTTATTCGATATATCTTTGTGCTCGCGTTGGTGCTCCATAAGCATTTTCGCACCAAGGACTCGGTGCCATTTTGTATGTTCAATGACCCGATCACATATATATATATATACACAGAAGTATAATTCTATAGTTAGTAGGGAGTAAGATTGTGATATGGCGACTGGAAGCAATTTTAAACTACGAAATACCTGGTGCCGCAAATGCAATCTGCAAAGCATGGTGATCTAGACATCTTTGGGAGGGACAGAGTCCAGCTGTAGATTGCTTAAGGGCTGATGAAAAGGTGGTTTATATGTATATACACAATTTAACATGTTTGTTTCAAATATAGATGATTTTAAACCACAACTAACAAGCACCATGGAAACATACTCTGACTGACTGAGTTAGGATTTAATACTAAATTCAAATTCCCACGTGCCAAAGCATGAATGGGTCGAATCGACCAGAGAAGGAACGCGCTCTCACAGAATACCAGGGTAAAATAACAGCTTAATGCTGCTGTGTTTGGTATTGTTAGTGTAGAGAATCAGCGAGCCTTTTATTCGTAATGATACATTGCGTCTAAGTCCTCGGGAATAGAAACTCATCAACATTTTGATTCTTAATTGATGATAGATGTAAGTGTCCATGAGTCACAGCATCCACTTACCATCAGGGGGACTGTGTGCACCTTTGTCATCCTTACTCTAAATAAAAAACTAACTTCAAACTCAGATTTTGTAATTATATCGAAAACTAGGGACGGAAAATGATAAAAATACGTAAAAAAGGTCTTTTACCAGTTTATCCTTTAATACTCAATATTTTTATTTTATTTTAAAATTTTTGTTGTAAAATGGTGGTTTTAAAAATAAGAGATAGAATACAACCACAAGAATCCACTGCTGAACATAGGCCTCCCCCATAGCTTGCCACATAGGGTTGATATTGGCTCTAGTTACTACGTTTTGCAGGGGCGTTGTCAACTGCAGTTTTTTCCCTATTTAGAGTTGTTGTCAGGAAAATGCTGCTTTCCATCTCCTGTTTCAATTTCTCCTCTGTCGACTCTTACGACACCCACGAGATGGTACGGGCCAGTGAATATCCTCACACCGCCACTACACAGTTTTTAATTGTTCGGACTAATTCCAGCCGCTCAATTTTACCATCGCACATCGCTGCAAAACTCGAGATACAATTCATACCATTTAAATGGTTGACGGCTCACCACTGTTCGATTTTAAAGTTTTCTTCCTCGCACAACTTCCTTGTGGAATCGACTACCACCAGCAACTTTTCCTGGCCGATACAACTTAGGGACCTTCAAGAAAAGAGCTTACACTTTTTAAAAGGCCGACAACGCATCTGCAATTCCCCTGGTGTTGCAGCTGTTCATGGGCGGCGGTAGTCACTTACCATCAGGTGAGCCGCATGCTCGTTTGCCCCCTGTCATATATAAAAAATACGGCCACAGATAGACAATTTAATTAGTGCTTTGCATATATGTTTTTTTATTTACTAGATTATTGAATAATAGCACTCACTTACCCTTTATTCGATTGTTTTCTGGCAATGACTTGTATAAATAATCCATGGCCGACTTAGCTCTCTTGCACAGTGCCCCATTACCATTATTGTTATCCTTCAGTCTATCAAGCTCATTTATTACACGCCAAGGAACAAGCAGTGTTGGTTGCTCACTGTAGCCTGAAAGAATTTTATTTACTTGAAAAAAGTAAACTTAATAAAAAGTAGAATACATTATTATCAACTTTTATATAACTATTTTTTTGTCTAATATTTTACGCAGCAGCACAGAAACAATCTTGCCTTTTGATGAAATTAATTTCATCTCATAATGAATAATACTCTTTTTTCTTTCACATTTCCTTCCTGTTTAACAAACATAATCACCAAGATGACATTTTATATTTAATATTTAAGAGAATTATGTAACAGAAGTCATAGTTATTTTAATTATTATTTGGACTTTACCTATCCCACTAAGTTAACATAAGTTTAACCACTGAATTTACATAGCTGTAACCCACTACTTCGGACATTACCCACAATTTAACCAGCTAAAGAGAAAAACAATTGTTTTTTTTTTATTCAACTAATGTCAATATTCAGGGGTGGACTAACAGAAAAAATATAGTTATTTTTAATGTTTCAACAACTTTAAAAAAGGAGGGATTTATCAATATGAATTGTTTGTATGTAACAAGTGTTCATATGTTCTCAGTAGTCCTATAAAAATTTTAACCAGATCCAATGATAGCTGAACTTTCTTTATAAAGTTTTTTTAGTAATCCAGTAATGGAATAGGTATTGAAGCAAATATAGACTCCAAAAAAGACAATGCACTAGGTCTCTTTCGTAATACATGGGAAACAGCGTCGAGTAGACTTTTTTTCAAGTTCCACCTGCTGAGAAAATTATTATTCCTAGGCCCTTGTTTACGAACGGCAATAAAAATACATAAATTTTGTAGGCATCTTTGACCTTGATTACTTCGTCAGTGTCAAGGTTTTCTAGTATGTCAAAAGATCATAAATATTATTCATGTAATTTGGATAGATTTTAATTCCGCGTCATCTCATTCGGTATTTAATTAAATAAAATATGTTGTTTTTAAATTTTTGTAAAATATCAATGCCATAGCCTTCTACTCCGTTCACCTGTTACACACTATTCTTTTCCGGACGGTAAAAAAGGTGGTCCAGTATATAATGTAATAATATTGTTTGTAAATGAAACAATATATTCACCTTTAATATGTGAATTTAACACATTCTTTATAAAATCTAGTTCATGGATAAATATATTTGTATCTACAACCAAAACGATTTTCTCTTGTACTGTATTGTTATTGCTTGCAGAAGTTTGTTTCTGAGACAAATTTGGCACCGTCTGAAACAAAACAAATTCAAACAACATAGGTGTGAAATAGTTCAAGATTACTAACTTATAAGAATAGGATATTTTATAAGTAATATAGATTACACGTTATTAAAAATCATTTGTGCTACTACTACCAAAAGCCGTGGTAGCTCCACCGGCAACAATGAAATTTTTAATTACAATTATAAGTGCTGATTCACCACGCGGTGAAGCAAAACATCGTGAGGAAACCCGCTTGTCTGAAAGTAAGAAAAAAATATTTACAACCCATGTGAAGTTCGCCAACAAGCATTGGGACAGCACGGCGGACATTTCCTTGCCCTAAAATCCTCTAATAAATGAGAGGAGGTCTATGCAGTATATATTCAAGCTAGGATACATTTTAACACTCAGTATTTGGCAGACAGTTCAGTTCTATGAAGGTGACATGTAGCACTCAAACTTGGGCGCTTTAGATGTGAAATATTCTCCAACAAAATATAACTTTATTTATTATCTGTTTCCATGCTTATGTGTCGGCGTGTAGTGGCGACCTAAGAATCCACTACCTCCTATCATCTTCTAGGTGTTGTAAGGAGGATACAGAAGGAAATAAAATAGGAGATGACCTGCAGCATCTTCCTGATATTTTTTATGGATGGTATGTGGATGCTGCGCCCCATAGACATCTACATTTATCCTCAGTGAAGAATCAAAACGCAGATGCGATATCGCCCCTGAGGACCCCTCGTTTCCAGTAAAAAAGTGTCTCCGGATCTCTACTCTCACCATAAGAAACACAGCAGAATTAAGCTGCTATTTTATGCTGGTATTCTGTGAGAATGTGGTCCTTCCCTGGTCGAGCCGACCCATTTGTGCTGCAACCATAATAAAGCTACAGCATAGCTCTACCGCGTATAAATTACATATAACATTTTTATATAGAATAAGCATGACATATGAGCACACAGTCCACCTGATGGCAAGTGTATGTTGTGGCCCATAGACATCTACCCTGAGGACAAGATGGAATGTCTCGTTTCCAGTAAAAAAAAGGTCTCAAAATAATAAACCATTACAGCCTATAAAAGTCCAGTGATTAACATAAACCTCCCCCATAGATTGCCTCATAGGGGGATTTCTCCATAGTTGCCATGCTTGGCAAACGCGTTGGCAAACATGGTTTAGTACAATTTTGGTTATTATCAGGAAGACGCTGCTGCCAATCTTCTGGATTGTTTTCCTTTATAGCATCTGACGATATAGGATAGCGGATATTCTTAAGTCGGAAAATAATACTCAACTATGGCAAATATCCTTCTATGAAGCAATTTCAAGGGTAGGCTTATTTTCAGCTGAACTTTTTATAAACGAAAATAAAATGGATGGATAAAAACCTCTGTCCTGGAAAGAATAAGCAAGAACTCTTTTTTATTTTATTTTTTCAAATAATAATTAACTATGTTGTACATTGTAATATAAAGGAATTTAGAAACAGCATGGTAGCAAATAGCAATCACCCCATCTCAATCAGGGTTTCTTATCAATCATGTACTCCTTAATATTGTAAAAACCCTTTATAAACTATCTTTATTTAATTAAAATCTTAACTTTTTTTAAGTTATTTTAATTTTCATAACAATGTAACAAAAACTAACCTCTTTGACGTCTTCTACATCCATTGCTTCAAGACATTTATCTGTTGCAACACTATCATTAATGGAACATTCCTTGGTACTTGTTGCAGTTTCTTCCGTTGTTAAGCTTGTCCTTAATGCCTCCATTCGATCCTTAGCTGTAGTATACTTTTTTACACTACCTTCCTCAGGGATCGTCAGTTTGTATGTTAGTTTAGATTTAATTGCTGACACAAGTTTACTAGCTTCGGAGAACTGAGGTGGTGTTGCCGGATGCTTGTTAAATGGATACTCAGGCGTCTGGTTACAGATTCCCTGTTCTATATCTGCAAAGGTGTCTTTTTGCTTCTCTTTGTTATTAAATTCTTCTGGTAGCTGAGCTTTCATAGAATATATGATTTTATTTGCTGCGAAAAATTGTGATGGTGATGGTGTGGACTGTAAGCTGTCATTGCTTGGTGATTGTGATGTAATAGTACACTTGGAATCGTTTAAACTTGGGCTTTTTAACTCAGTTCTTTGAATTTTAACCGGTGTTTCGTTAACATTACTTTTGGGACTTTCTCTCACCCTTTTTCTCGGTGACGTTTCCTTAATTACATCTTTATCTTTCTCAGCTTCAGCTGTCAATTGATCTCTGAGTTGTGACAGTCTTTTGTTAGCTAAGTTTTTACTTGGTGTAGGCTTTTTTGGTGATGTACTTTTCTTTGCGCCGACATCTTTTGTGTTTATGTTCTTATTTGGAGTTGCCTTCCTATTTGGAAATAAATCTTTCTTTTGTGTTTCTAGAAATTAAAAATACAGTGCTTAAAAGCGCATAATCATTAATATATATATATATATATATATATATATATATATATATATATATATATATACTAATTTACATTAATCTTCAACTTTTACATGCACCTTGGTTGCAGCTTTCCATGACAAATTGGGAACTGTTATTACAGCTGTTGGCATTATTTAAAGGCAAGATTCAGGCAATCCTGAACTTATTTTATATCAATAAAGCACTATTTTTTGTGTCTATCATAGTCCTCAAAAATGAAAAGGCCTATATAAATAGTTTTCAAAGTTGATGGCAGGAGTCAATGGATTGCGGCGAACATTTAACATTAGGTACATTTTTAACTCAATTTCCAGTTGAATAACGGTGTTATATCAATTAAAAAATACTGAATTGATGTCTCAGAAACTTGTGACAAAAAGTAACACCAACAGAGGGACGGTGCCTGCGGCCTGCCCAACGAGATAACTGTCACAGCTACAGTCTATTTACGTCCACTGCTAAACATACGCCTCCGCTATAGATCGTCTCTAAGGGAAGATATTTGCCATAGTTGCCATGCTTGGCAACCGCAGTTTTCTTATTTTTAGTCATTATTAGGAAGATGCTGCTGCCCATCTCCTGATTTGTTTCTGTCTGTCGCCTCTTACGGCACCTACGGGATGATATAAGATAGTGGATATTTTTATACCGCTAAGTAAATAATTTTTAATAAAATTTGGGTTGTCTGGAAGAGATTGCTATGTAGCAATAAGACCGCCTTTTGTTTTTCCCTCATTGTTTGTTCATTATTTGTTATATTTATGTTTTGTTGGTGTACAATAAAGAGTATTGTATTGTATTGTATTTATGACATTATTTAATCAAAAGTGACTACTGCCGCACCTGCAAACAACTTTAAACTAAGGAAGACTACAGTTGCTATTACTATCACCCATACTATCATCTATCTACTATAATATCACCTCTTGAGAACTGAGCACAGCAGTGCAATCACTGCTTTTTGCTAGAAATAGGTAAGTGTGGTGTCCACCCAGATTGAGTCCTACCACCTAATAACACTCAATAGACATATCTTTTCACAAAGAAAATAAATTAATGAAAACCAATAATCTATGTCTCTAAATTAATACTTAGATTTTATTTAGATTTGTAGAGTAAGAACTACATGATTTCGGAAAAGACTAAAAATTATTTAAGAATGTCAATTTTTAAAGTAGTGTAGTAAACTCTGCCTGCGCCTTTTGGTGCAGCCGGTCCCAAGCCCGGATAAGAGACGAGGGTTCGCTAGACGAGACAAACACAGCCGCAAGTATGAGTCAACGCCGAACCTTGGGCGGCGATTAACTAACCCAACCCCAAGATTCACTCAAAATTTTCTAATAAACATTGAGGGGCAATTCAGTGGCCGTGAGGGACTAAATCCCCTCTAAAAGACTGCTGGTTCCGCCAGAGAGTGTAGGTGTATCCGGTGGACTAACAGACCTACCTGTGCTAGGACATACGCAGTCGAGCTCCGTACGCTGGGTTCACGGAATCCTGGAAGGTTGAGCCTATCATCACTGGGGTATGGTGGTGTACATGGTTATTTTTCAAAAACTAGCAATGCGTAAATAAGGTTTCTACATTTATCTCAAAATACCTTGAAATAGAATGCGATTTATAGGCAACAACTACAGCATACGCGCGCTCGTGTGTACGGGTTAATGGACAAAAAAATTTTTTTTTTTTTACATTTCAACGATGTGGCCGATAACTGTCATTATTATGGCGTATTTAAAAAAATGGAATCAAGTATTTACAAATATAAACAATTTAAAACGATTAACTATTGACAACAACAAACTATTTACAACTTAGATATGCAATCACTTGAAATAACACTAACCATTCACAAAAATGTTTTCGAGGTGGACCGTCGTTATTATTCAGTGCTTGTACACGTTGGTAATGAAATGGGTGATATTAAGAAAAATTCAGTAGTTTCCACACGTACTGGCTAACTCTGAACTCGTGCTGCATCATTGGTGCTAGTGCGGGGATCCCACTCGAAAAACTAGATCACTGCGTTTTCTATAGCTAGGCTTATTACTGAATCGCCATCTCGAGTACTTCCACTTGACGGAGTGCTGAACTATTCAGTCTAACAGCATTTGGTTAGCTGCAAACTTTGTTCTCCGATTGGGTGGTACACATGCATTAATTCTTTGTCTTTGCAAACGCGGTTAAGACTAACTTTCGTATAATATTTGGGCACTACGTAAGCTTTTATTGCTTAAAATTTAACACCATACTATTTCATAGTATTTGCAGTTCGAATATTTTCGTTGCGAAATTAACCTACGAAATTTTGTCACTTCTACACAATTAGGTATGCAGATGTCAATACTGGTCTCGGGAAAAACAGCAAGCATGGAGTGACCTGACCCAAGTGGCTCTCCGTATAGTGAAAAGTTAGTGCAATAGATACGATTTTTTCTTTCACACAAAAATGAACACTGAACAATTATTCAGCATTTGTTTTTGTGTTTATCACCTACCAAATCTTTTCAGCACAAAACTCCAGCAATCCTCTGAAGTAAAATGCTTAGATCTTACCTTGGACAGTAAACTCAACTACAATAAACACACAGAAAAATATCAACAAGGCTAGTACAACTTCCTAGTAATGCAGAAACATGTTTGGCAAATGATGGGGTCTGATGCCAAAAATTATATTGCGGCTGTACAAAACTGTAACCCAGCCCATGATCACATACGGCGCTCTGGTATGGTGGACCAAAAAGGAATGAAACCATACATACCATACCACACCAGAGACTGTTATGTATGGCTACACCAACAGCAGCCTCAGAGGCTATGCTAGAGCTAACCCTGCTTCACCTATACATACAACAAGAAGCGACTTTAGCTGCCTTTATACTAAAAAACCCTAAATCTTTAGAGAGGGAGTAGAGTCCCTATACAGGTATAATCAATAGGATTTACATGAAAATCCCTATCTTACAAGTGAAGAATGATCCAAAAACAATTTGTGTTTGATAAGAAATATAAGATAGAATTACATGAAACTAACTAGCCAGAGGGATTAAACCCAAAAGAGCTCACAGTTTTCATGGATGGGTCCAAAATAAATGAAGGTCCAGAATCTAGAACTTTCTTGGAAGACCTCAATATCTACCTACATATGTACACCACTGGGTACCCACAACTTAGTCTTTCATACTGAATGTATGGGTCTCATCCAAGCAGCCATAGCAATGGATGCTAGGAAGGTAAAAAACTTCTCCTTCAGAATACTGACTGACAGTATGGCAGTACTACAAGGTCTGAGTTGCAATGTGGTGAACTCGGGACTAATATATGAATGCCATCAACAACTAAATGAGATATGTAAACAAAACAATGGGACTCTGCAATGGATCAAAGGACACAGTGGATCCAGGGGCGATGACGCAGCAGACGAACTGACCAGGAGATTTTAAAATTAAGAATTTCAATTCGTTCATCATCAATATGGAAACCAAAAATTTAAATTCCTAATTATAACTGTCAATAATATAATGATTTTAAGGGTATGTTCCGAAATACAACTCAGTACACTGGCAAATGCAAATGACGTCATCAATTGACACTATATTGTACTGGCGTGCCGCCGCCATATTGCGTCGGATATCCGGCCACAATAAAACAATTTTTAATTGTGTGTGCGCTGAATGAAGCATGCCAGAATATGTTTTTATTTATTAAAATACAAAAAATTATAGAATAATTGCTGGTATCTTCATTAGGAAGATAAAATGATTTTTGGAGCACAAAATGACAAAATAATCGCCTACACTTTTCCAATATGGCGTAAATGTATGACGTCATATACTGTCATATGTTTTGGAACGAATCACCAGTATAGCGTCAATTCATGACGTCATTCGCATTCGACAGTATACTGGGTTGTATTTCGGAACATACCCCTTATATATTTACCCAAACATTATATTTACGTTATCTTCATACACCAATAGAAAGGGCTAAGTTCAAGGTTCTTTTCCTTTTAAAAAAGAGTTACTTTAACATGTCCAATTTAGTCAATGATGTGGATACAGTTGATGGTATTGGTGTTTATTGATTAAGCCAACATTAAGCGAAGAAAAAAACAATGTTTTAGTACCGATTGTAACTGGTTTAATCATAATTTTTTTTATAGAAGAAGGGGCAAACGAGCATACACTTCACCTGATGTTATGTGACTACTGCCGCCCATGAACAACTGCAACACCAGGGGAATTGCAGGTGCGTTGTCGGCCTTTTAGAAAGAAGTAAGCTCTTTTCCTGAACAATACAGCCAATACAGCTTATGTCCCTAAGCCGTATCAACCCGAAAAAAATCTCCAGTGGTAAAGTATTCCACAAAGAGGTTGTAAGTGGAAGAAAACTCTTAGTAAAATGCACAGTGGTGGACTGCCAAGTATCCAGATGGTGTGGATGGTATCGGGAGTAATGCTGAGTAGTGCATTCATGAAATTTGGCAACTGGGATTAATCCGAACAATTACTCAGAGCATGCTCCGTGGTAGATGCGAAAGAAAATGACAAAAAGATGCAACATCAGGAATACTGTTCCCATCTCTGGGCTGGAGCTCCCCAGTGCTAGCTCCTTCCACTTGACCGCATCCAGCACAGAGCAGCTCACAATCAAGCCGATCGGAAAGCAATCGTCGATGACCGAGTGCTTTCCGATCGGCTTGATTCACTGGTGCTGCAAAGAGATGTTGCATCTCTTTGCATATTTCTATCACAGGGAGTGCTCTGAGGAATTGTTGGGATTAATCCCAGCCGCCAAATTTCACGACCGTACTACGCAGCAAACCTCCCAATACCATTCACACCATCTGGAAACTTGGTGGTCCAACACTGTACGTTTTACAAGGAGTTTTCTTCCGCATACGACTTCTCTGTGGAATAGTTTACCACCGGCGATTTTTCCCGACCAATACGACCTGGGGACCTTCAAAAAAAGAGCTTACTACTTTCTAAAGGGCCCGCAACGCACCTGTAGGTCCCGCATGCTCGTTTGCCCCTATTCTATAAAAAAAAAGTTATACAGTGTATTAGACTAGTTTCTATTTCTGTAAATAGGCTTACCTAATATATTACGAAATGACTTAGTTATTTTCAGATGAATTAACATTGTTTTATAAAATTATTGCCAATATGATAAAATGGATGTAAATGGCAAAAGTTCTATAGCTTTATGCTAATAATGGATATGAAGTGGAAGAAAGTTTGTCTCATTTATAATCAGCATTATAAATTGTTTTCAAATAAATATACAGAACAAAACATGTGAATGTCATCATGTACAAAATAAGAGTAGGCAAAATAATAATACTGAGTTTCATTAAAAGGAATTGAGTACTTGGCTGCTTTGATTTTAAACATAGATTGAAAACATAGTTTAGTTTACGATGGACTGTTTTTTGCAACTAAATGTTTTAGGGCATATTTTGCATGTGGGCAGGAATATTGTGATTCTTCAAGCCATTAAATCTCTCCAAAGAAGTTCACCAGTCCTTTGATGTCACAAAACACTTCGGGGATTGATCCCGGCATGACATGATGTTTAACCCTATATGTAGCAAGCTCCAGACATGCTTGCAACATGTAGCCATATATTTCTTCTTTCAACTTCCCCATCAGTTTCCGATTCTTCAACCTATATGGCTTGCCTATTGCCACTTCAGCTTACTAATACGTAGTAAATATCATAATGATATTTATAAATTTTCTCTAATACCACCAACCATATTGTTATGTTGGATGGTAGATAAAAAAGTTTTAATATATATTAAATCAATTGTTACTCAACCCAAGCATTTTTGACCACTAATAGTGTTAAAAAATATGTATATTTTATATTTATTGTTTATTAAAATGTCATACATACAATTCTATTTTACCTTTTCTGCATTTCTCTCTGGAAGAACCACCATCATTGCCATCACTTTTTCGTTTTAGACCTTTTTTTACGTAATTCTTCTTTTTTTATTGTTTTCCTGAATCCGTTTATTCTCTATTTTGACAACGTTTTTACTGCTACAGGGTTTGTCTGCAACCTTGAAAAAAATAATTATTTTTCTTTATTGTTGTTGGCCATTAAAACAAATTCACTTCATTACACTAGAATATTATATTGTTGTTGGTCTATTATACAATCTTCAATCGCTACTTTTTAAATACAACTTATCAAAAAACCAATTACGAAATTTACCTCAGGTTTTGTCCAAGAAGATTTACCATTTTTTCGGTTAAAATAATACTTTCTGCCTGGGTTGGACTTTGATTTACAAAGAACCCATCCATCTGGAAGCTTTTTGCATTCATTTTTATCAAGATTCATAATATTACAGTAAGCAGTACTGAATTAAATGCAAATGCAAACAATACAAACCCTGTGTAAAAAATAAAGGGTATGTTCCGAAATACAACGCAGTATACTGTCCAATGCAAATGACGTATCATTTGACACTTTATTGTACTAGCGTGCCGCCACCATATTGTGTCGGATATCCGGCCACAATAAAACAATTTTTAATTGTGTGTTTGCCGAATGAAGCATGCCAGAATTTGTTTCTACTTATTCAAATACAAAAAATTATAGAATAATTGATAGTATATCCATTAGGAGGATATAATGATTTTCGGAGCACAAAATGACAAAATAATCGCCAACACTTTTCCAAATGGCGCAAAAGTATGACGTCATATACTGTCCAATGTTTTGGAACGAATCACCAGTATAGCGTCGATTCATGACGTCCTCTGCATTGGACAGTACACTGCGTTGTATTTCGGAACATACCCAAAAAAATAAATATTTAGTAGTAATGGTGGTTATATAGCGCATAGCGCCATATTGTAGCACGCTATCTCTTCATAACGAATAGCGCGTGCTATGTAAGTAGTCGCCATGGCGCTATGACGCTTTGGCGCTATTCATATCAAGCGGCAGTTAGTTCTAGCAGCAGCGCTGTTGGGAGTAGACGTGTGATGCAAAAACCTAGCAGCACGCTATTCATCGCGCGCGAAATAATTAAGAGTTAGACGTTATTTAGTTAGTGTATACTGTATATTTATAAGTGATTGAAGGATACAGTTGTCTGCTACAAAAGAAACCTAACTAATGTTTTTAAATGTAACTAAAATATAGATACAAAAGTGTATATAAGTATTTGTAAATAGTTGATTTTTGTATATACAATCAATAAACTTTTAAATACACCTTTACCTAATTGATTTATAATTTATATTATGGTTAAAATAACGTCTACATCAATTATAATAAAAAATTATTAATTTTATTTTGTTTTAAAAAGTACACGCCTTAAAAATATTTTTAGGATTACAGAAAGTCGTAAGCCTGAAAAGTATGAAAGAGCGTTCATTGATTTTTCTTTACAAGTATTTTATTTTAATCTAAAATGCGACTTATTATGAAACAATGTTCTTATATAGCACACGGTCTATCCAATGAACGACATATAATGTAGCGTGCTCCGAGATATAGCGTGCTGCTAAACTTAACGCGCTTGCCGGCCTCCTACACACTTTTTTATAAATAGCGCGTTATAACATAGCGCATTTAATAGCGCGCTAGAAATATCTAGTTTATAGTCTGTAGCGTGCTATTGATTTATAGTCGTTTTGAACAACTTTATTTAGTAGCGATGGGTCAACTATAATGCTAACTCGAGTTAACTCGAGTCGAGTTGCACTTAACTCGAGTTGCGCTTAACTGTAATGAGTTGCGCTGAGTCCGAGTTGGATCTTTCTAAACTCGAGTTTGGACTGGCCGTACACGATCGAATCCGTAGACAGAGAAACCTATAGACAAATTGACGCCTTCTTTCGCATTCGCACACGAAAAAGATAGATTTATGCATACGTCTTGCGTAGAAATGAGACCAACCGGTGAGATTGTCCCTTTCTCCGTGCCGGTTTTTTTGTTTAGCAAACTACACTTTGCTAAATAACTTTGACAGTTAGTGGCGATCTAAGGAGTTTACAAGTTGTTTTAAGTGAGAAAAAAGTGTTTTGTGAGCTTAAAATTGGTGAATCTTGTTCAGTTCAGTTCAGGCAGAAGATTAAGCCGATAAAAAACAACTAAGCAATCGACGGTTCAAGCCGCTCTCCGTGAAACGAACTTAAATTAAAAAAGCGAATATTAGCGTAGCAGGTTGCAGGGTCACTTTGGCTCGAGCGGTCGGGGAGAGCCGTTGTGCTAAGAATTAGATATTACCTTAAATCATTAATTGCTGATTAATATTGTAAAAGTGTTATAAAAGATTTATATTACAAGTTTTGTTTTGAGTGCATTTTTATTACGATTTTTACCTCTAATCTGCAATATCAGAAATGTCTTGTGATCCAATCCTCAGTTACGGACCACGACGCTATCTTACTTGTCCTCTATATGAAGAATATATCACATTCATCTTCCAAAGTCTCAAAAAAGATTGACATCCCCAACCTTATGGACACCTTAAAAAAAGTAAGCTTCTCCGATGTACTTCAGCTCACTGATCCAAACCTAGCAACTAACCTTTATTAGTAAACTTCAGGCTGAGATAGATCAACACTCCAAGCTCAAGCTCTTACCCAGCTGACGAAGGATTCTCAAACCCTGGACGACTCCTGGGTTATTAAGGTGTATTCGAAATAGAGACGGCATGCATAAGAAACTTAAAAAAGACCTTCTAAATGACATACTTCGAAAAACTTACCGTCGCTACCGTAATTTCTGCAATTCCCTTTTTAGGAAGATTAGGATAGCATATGATAGAGAGCGGGTAAATAAGGCTGGAAATAATAATAAAAAATTATGGAACGCTATCAGAGATGTTACAAACATGAACAAACAGCACTCCAACTGCAACGACCTCCTCACTTTTATGTCTACCACCTCCCAATCACTTGATAGTACAAATGCTTTTTTTGGAAATATTGGTAAATCTCTCGCTGAGGATATACTTATTGCCTCTACTCCCTCCCCCCAAAAATTCCCAATACCTCGCTCAAATCAGACCTTTGTTCTCCTTAATACCACTCCATCCGATGTTGACTCTCTCATCTCATCACTCAAGGAAAACTGTGCGGTTGGGTGGGATAATATTCCCTCATCTATCAGGGAAAAGGTAAAGGATTTACTCGTTCCTGCTATATGCCATTTATGCAACCTGAGTCTTTCTTCAGGTTGCTTCCCTGATGCCCTCAAGAAAGCCCTAGTTCAGCCCATTCACAAGAGTGGGGATCGAAGCCAGCCCAATAATTACCGCCCCATTTCGGTCTTACCCGCCTTGTCTAAGATCCTGGAGAGGCTGATCAACAACCAGTTAATCGAATTCCTAGAGAAAATGAACTTATTGTCCCCTGAGCAATTTGGTTTTAGATCTGGCAGATCTATAGCAGATGCGGTTCACTCTCTCACAGATCATGTGATTAGAAACTTAGACAAGGGTAATAAATGTTTATCGATCTTCCTCGACTTGGCCAAGGCCTTCGACACGGTTTCGATTCCCATCCTCTTGTCCAAACTGAAGGCAATTGGTGTCAGAGGTACCCAACTATCCCTCTTCCAGAGTTATTTTTCAAACCGAAACCAGGCTGTCACTATCAATGGAAAAGTGAGTTCCGAACTATCCATGAGTTACGGTGTTCCCCAGGGAAGCATTCTTGGCCCGACGCTCTTCTTGGTCTATATCAATGACCTCTGCTCTCTCAAAATTCCTAGTTGTAAGATTGTCTCCTTTGCAGACGATACCGCGCTAATTTTCTCGGCCTGCTCCTGGAAAGATACCTTCCAACTTGCCCAATCTGGTTTGAACTTAGTCTCTCTCTGGCTCCGTACTAATCTACTCACTCTCAATTCCAAAAAACCCAGTATATCACCTTCTCCATCCGCAGTATTCCACCCAAAGCATTAGAAAATTTTCGATTAATTGATCATTCCCATTCTGACCACCCCTTCTTCTCATGTAACTGTGAACCTCTTACCTCGACCAATTCCACAAAATATTTAGGTATATTTATAGACAATAAACTGACCTTCCAGCCCCACATCATCCTCACCGCTTGTAGACTCCGTAAACTTATGTTCGTTTTTAAAAATCTTCGCCAAGTCGCAGATCCTTGTCTAGTTAGATCAGTCCATTTAGCACTTTGTCAGTCACTTATAGTCTACTGTTTAACAACCTGGGGCGGCGCGAGTAAGTCAATACTAATTAAGCTGGAAAGAGCCCAAAGAGCGGTCCTCAAAGTCTGCACGTTCAAATCCTGCTATCACAAACCTTCGATCTTTATCAGCATTGTGAGGTTCTTTCAGTTCGCCAACTCTTTATTTTATTAACTGTCCTCAAACAACATAGTAGTTGTAGCTATGATCCCTCTTTAATGTTTTCCCAGCGAAATCACCTTGTATTACGTTCAACCCCGTTCAAAACCCTAACCTCACAACGCTTTTTCTGTTTCTTGGGCCCCTTCCTCTATAATAGACTACATCGTGTGCTCAACATCTTTCCTCTTACAAAATTGTCCTGCAAATCCAGTCTCTAATTATTTGCAGACTATGAACTATGAGGAGACTGAATCTCTCCTCCATCCTATCAGGTAGGTAATATACTAACGCCCACACCCACTCTGACACACGCACATAAAAGGGGAACACACACACACACACACACACACACACACACACACCACACACACACACACACACACACACACACACACACACACACACACACACAAACGCACACACCATTTTTTTCTCTTTTCTCTCTTTTTTTGATTACTTGTGCATTCACTATCTGTACCATAATGATCCACATCCTGTGAGGAGAGTGCTGGTGCTCTGAAACACAGGCTCTTAGCCTAGCTCGGACGCCAGTCTCTCACAATCTAAATATGTTTTTTCCCTGGAGATAACCTCTGTTCATTACTATACTAGTTTTTTAGATTGTGGAGAAAATAAAGAATTTTATTATCACAAAACTATAATATTATAAATATAAATACAATCTATATAAATAATATTATTATTTCGGTTATTATTCACCGCGGCGAGGAATTCCAAGCCATCGGTGAAGTTAGGCATCCAAAGATGGAAGAGGAACCTTCTTACTATTCGAGCCGTATTTAATAAGGCCGATTTTTGAATTAATGCCTTCAGCCATTTGCCCAAACCTAACTTGGACAGATAATCGTCCATATTTTTACCAATAAGCCCACTGACTGAAACAACTATTGGTACAATAATAGTAGAATCAACGTCTATTATTATTATTATGTGTGGGGTATCTATATAGTTTTCTCATCTGGTTGGGATGTATAAATATATAATTATAAACGAAAATGAAAAGATACATAAATCAATAAAATAAAATAAATAAGAAAATACATAAATAAATAAAAGCCCAACCAGATGGAAGCCTTCGGCAGGGGAGACCAAACGGCCAAGGGTTAGGGTGAAAGGGAAAGAAACCGGCGGACGATGCGGGCAGTATCAAGGAGCACCGCCTTCTGCATTTGAGCCCGGAGCGGTCCGTCACGGAGTCCCAGTCGCCTCAGATGACCAGAGAGGCTAACTGGGATTAGCCCATTCGCAGAGACGACTACAGGAATAATTTCCGTCGGCAGACCACCCCACATGTCGGTCACCTCGTGAGCCAGGTCCAGATATTTTGATTGCTTATCTGTTTCGGCTCTCACGAGGTTCTCGTCATACGGAATGGTAATATCGACCAAAAATATCCTTGACTGTGCCCGGTCCATCAGCACAATATCAGGCTTATTCGCAAGAATAGTCCTGTCTGTGATGATGGTCCGGTCCCAGTAGAGCCTGGCGCGGTCATTTTCGAGCACGGCTTCCGGCAAGTACTTGTAATACGGCAATTTCCGGTCCACGAGACCGTATTTCAGAGCGAGCTTCTGGTGTAGAATTCTGGCTACTAGGTTGTGCCCGTGCAAGTACTCAGAGTTAGAAAGCGCCGAACAACCGGAGATGACATGCCTGAGTGACTCCCCGGGATGGCGACAAGCTCGACAGACGTCGACGGTGCCATCCTTTAGGATGTATCTCCGATAGTTGCTGGTCTTAATAACCTGATCCTGTATTGCACAGACAAAACCCTCGGTTTCCCCGAAGAGGTCACCGAAACGTAGCCAGTTGAGGGAGGCGACTGTATCTACGAAGGGCTCATGTAGAGCCTTGTAGTACCTCCCGTGGAGCTCTTTCTCCTTCCATACGGTCTCCCGGTCGGAAATGCTAAGCACTGCTGGGTACTGCCATTGCTCGTTGGCTAAGGATAGAAGGGTAAGCCCTTTATCACTAGAAATAACGTCATTATGGAATGGATCATCCGATCTCGCCAAGAAGTATTGACGGAGACTGCACACTTCACGATTATGCATGGTGAGCGCGCTCAGAAAGCCACGCCCACCATACTTTCGCGGCAAGTACAGCCTTATTACCGACGATCTCGGATGATGCATCCTATGGGACGTCATGGTAGTGCGGACTTTTCTATTCAGGGCGTTAAGCTCAGTCTGAGTTCACCTGAGTATGCCAAAGGTATACATGAGGACAGGCATGACCCAGCAGTTATATGCGTGTGACTTATTCACACCGGACAAAAGGCTGTTAAGCACTTTGGTCAAGCGTGCATAAAACACGTCGCAAACTGACTTTCATATCAGCCTCATCGATACCGATGTTCTGTGACATACCCAGGTATCGGTATGTTTCAGCCTCGGAAAGGGTCCTTAAGTTGACGGGCATAGACAAGTCTATGCCCTCAGAGTTAGCAACCCTTCCCCTTTCAACATGGAGGACCGCACACTTATCCGTCCCCAGCTCCATTCCAATGGAACTGCTAAATTCACAAGTGATGTTTAGCAGTTCCATAAGATGGGAGCGACTGGAGGCGAATAACTTGAGGTCATCCATATAGAAAAGGTGGGTCACTTTTGTCCCTCCTTTCCATAGCTGATATCCCCTCCCGGAGCCCTCCAGTAAAGTACTGAGAGGGTTAAGAGAGAGGAGAACCAGATTGGACTCAGACAATCGCCCTGGAAGATACCCCTTCTTATCCTTATGTGGTTATCCACAGCCGTCATCCGCTCACCCAGATGACAAAGGGTCGTACTCCACTGCCCCATACACTGCTCGAGGAAGTCTCTAACTGTACAGTCAATCTTGTACAGCTCGAGGACCCTCTTCAGCCATGTATGGGGCACCGAGTCGAATGCCTTTCTGTAGTCTATCCAGGCGGCAGAGAAGTTCCGACGGTTGCGTTTCATCACTTTGCCTATGACCGCGTCAATGAGGAGTGGTTCCTTAGTTCCACGACCACCGCCCCAACATCTATTTTGAGCGCGTGACATCACCTGGTTTAGCTCCAGGTGACGAGTGATTCTCGCGCTCAAAATGGATGTCAGTGGCTTATATATGGTGGGTAGACACGTAATGGGGCGGTATTTGCTTGGGTCTGTGGTATCCTGATCTTTAGGAACCAAGTGAGGGATCCCAGACGTGAAGATGCGCGGGAGGGACTTCTGGGCGAGAGCCGCTTGAAACTGTTGGGCGAGCACAGCGTGACACACTATGAACCCCTGCAGCCAGTAATGATGCAGCCCGTCGAGCCCCGGACTTTTCCAGTTCGGGGCCCTACGGACCGCCTCAGCCACGTCTTCTGGCGTTATGGTGATGGGGTCCATAGGCGTAACACTCGCAACCTGACTCGCCACAACTTCCATCCAAGGGCCCTCGCTGTGGTTTACGGACTCTGACCACAGGCCACGCCAGAATGCGATAATGTCAGCCTGATCCGGTCCTTGGCCCGCTCCACATACCTTTGGTTGCTCCAATGATTTATAGAGCCTCTTCTGATCACTCTGGAAGAGACGATTCTGGTTGAACCGCCTTGACCTCTCGGAAAATCATCGAATCCGCTTCCCCCCAAGCAGCGATCTTTTGCTTCAGGTCGTCTATGCGCTCCGTTAGTTTCTGCGTGATATCCGGCTGGGACAAACTGATATTTGTCCCAGCAAACGCCATCCTAACGGTGCGCATAATCCTTGGTCTATTATTATCGACCTGAAGATTGTCAGTCTGCTCATGAGAGCTCTTGCATTTGTGATACGCTCTTCAATTATTTTTCTCTAGGCTGGGATGGCGCTACTTTGTGTAGTAGCACATCCAACTGTGGGAAGTTTGGCACCAATAATACGGCAAACTGCCACTGCGACGCCAAAGAGAATCGAGTCCGTCTCGCAAAGGTCCCGGCTGGCTTCCAAATAGGTCACCAGCATTGGGTTAAGAGCCCTCACGACAGCCCGATTTCGTTTGCTTAGGAGTATGCGGGGAAGCCGCGGTCGATTTTCGAGAGGGGTGCTGCCCGTTTCCAAAATCGCCTCTTCCAATATACTCCTCATTTGCTCTAGTTCGTGGGAGACTATTTCATCGTCGTTCGAATCAACCACAACTGGAAGATCCATGGCGGCTTCCACGTGTGGATGCTGGTCTGTCGAATGTGGAGCTGCATCTCCAGCCATAGCCGATTCATTCGACGACGGAATAGCCTCACGTCGTAGTCGTTCGAGTTCGGCATCATCAAATATTTTCGAGCGCATGATGTACCGAACTCGGTCTGCCAGGTTTTGTTCCGTGACGGGGATAGACGGCTCCAGCTCAGCAAAAAAGCAATGCATCCGAGACCTATACGCTATTCCCACAGTTTCTTCCCCTTTCGCCCTATAGTACGCTCGCAATGCGTTTTCGTTCATAGATTTTGTCCAACGCATGCGACGTGCTCCACCAGCGGCTGGTGCCGCCGAGAAGACCCAGCCGACACCAAGCCTTCTGGTGGGGATGATGGATCCGAGGGGCTGCTAGGTGATCGTGCAGCTCCTCGCGCTCGGCTGGCGGCCCGCATGCTGCCGCGTCCAGCGCCAACACCAGACGCGCCCCGGCGACTCCCAGGCAGCGGCCCTATGCGCGTTCCTTTCTGTGTTTCTTCCATCATCCATTTTATGGGCGCCAAATAACGGGAGACGCCCAAGCCCGGCACCGTTTCGTGGTTGGGTCATATGCACAAACGGACCTTTGCATCTACAATTTTGCCTAGGCACGGCGCTCACACCTCTTGGCAGGATGCTGACTGACTGCGCCGACGTCGCAGTTTTGTCACATAACTGTTACGTCAGCGGGCGATGGGGTCGTCACTTCCCTACGCCTTATTATTATTATTATTATTATTATAGTGCTTCGTTGCCTACCCGCTTTCGGAACACCTGACTAACATTAAAATTAAAAAGATTAGTGTTGTAATTAGATTTTAACGATTTCGTAGTTTTCTTTTTGTTTAGTTTTCGGTTTATAAATTTCAAAATATCTGAGCAAGGATCTCGCTCTCGTAAACGCAAGCATGAGTCGAACAAGGATGTGCTGGATGCTATCCTTGCTAGATTGAATACGCTCGAGGAACGTTTTACTTCACCGCCGCCGCCGTCCGAGCCACCTTTACAGGCCGCATCAACATCTTTGGTGCAGCCACCGACGACGTACATGACGGCGATTCGACGGCAGGCTGCGCACCTGTTTTGTTATCACAAGAGAGCATTGCCACAGGCGGGGACGCAACTGGCAGAATCGTGGAGACCATAACTTCGCTAGTTAAAGTAAGGTCTAATAATTATTATATTTCTAACTTTGACCCTCATCTTCACGATATCGACGTTTGGTGCGAAGAGGTCGATAGGGCTAAAGAAACTAACGGATGGGACGATAACGAGTGTCTGTCGCGAATCGGTAATTTTTTAACGAGTGGTCTAGCACCAATCGTTCATGGACGAATTTCAAACGAGAATTTAAAATGTTGTGCCCGCGAAGTGATGACCAAAGATTCTAAAAGTTACGCCACTTATGCCGAATACACTTATACGTGGTAGAGCCATGCTGCAGTTATATTAGTAGTATAGTTGTAGCACGAATGGGTCGGCTCGACCGGGGAAGGACCACGCTTTCACAGAATACCAGCGTGAAATAGTAGCTTAATGTTGCTGTATTTCGTATGGTGAGTGTAGAGAACCGGAGACCCTTTTTACTGGAAACGAGGCATTCCATCTTAGTCCTCACGGGTGACAACGCATCTGCATTTTGATTTGTAATCGAGGATAGATGTAGATTTCTATGGGCCGCAGCAACCACTTACCATCAGGTGGACTGTGTGCTCGTTTGTCACCCTATCCTATAAAAACAAAAAAAATACGCTAGACGTTCATTGTTAAGGTTGGGTTTGTTTAAGGGACTATCTGACGAACTAATTGTTGCTATAGTATTTAGAGGCATAACAGACCCTCACATTAAATAATGCAAAGTTACAACCCAACGATTTAGTGAAATTTTTGTCGATGTACATAAAACCAAAAAACTATTTTCCGTCTACCCGATATATCTCGTGGATCGCGCTCTAGTTTTGGATCAATCATTACCCGATAGAACGAAAATAAAAGGGAGTTGGCGATTTATTAATATTACTTGTGTGGAAGGTTTGAGCATAAACGTACTAAGAACGCGACTAGGTAATAGTTTGGGGTCGTCACCGTCTAACACGCAGTCCCCACATGCTGTAACATGATCATTTTCCAAAAAGAGTGGTCATGAAATTAGTAACTGTTTTATCAAACAACGTTCAGAGTCGACAAAACTCAACCCGCACAATGTAAATTTTTGTAGTAAATTAGACTGTAACGTTTCGAGATCGACAATCGATGTTACAAGCACGGTAATCGAAGGCATACCGATTGATTTATTAGTAGACAGTGGTTCCTGTATATCGAGTTCTTTGTTAAAACACTTCAAGGCTAACCGAAAACCAACATATCGCGCCTTGCGTGGGGTATAGAAAGTCAGCTTTTGAATGTGCCTCGTTTGTGACATTAATTATGGAGCTACGCCACCTATCTATCGAAGCTGATTTTTATGTGGTACCCCACAATTTCATCAGTACTCCGGTCAATATAGGCACCGATATTTTGAATCGTGAAGGCATCACATATATCCGACAGAATGGTGTTCAAATTCTGACTCGTACAGGCATACCAGTTATACCTGTACCGGTAAACCATGCTTTTCGTATTAATAACGTGAACACACTTCTCATAGGTGAAGAGAAAGAACAGCTTGTGTTGGTTATAAATAATTTTTCAAGGCTCTTTATAACCGGTACGGCTTCGATCACAGTCACGACGGGTAGTACGAAAATAGGAGTTTCCAACAACGAACCAGTATGCTATAGGCAAATTATCGTATGATAAGCTTCGCGTTCGAAGTATAGTTAAAGACTTAATGGCTAAAGGCATTACACGTGAATCCAAATCGCCATACGCTAGCTCCGTAATCTTGGTCAAAAGGAAAGACTGCACAGACCGAATGTGCATAGATTACGAGTATAGGGTCTTGAATACACGTACTGTAAAGGATAAGTTTCCTTTGCCACTCATAGAGGATCATATAGATAGGTTAGAATCAAGTAGATTCTTTACGAGTTTAGATATGGTGACTGGCTTTATCAATATTATGCATGGGCAATACCCAAGATGATGTAGTCGGAGAATCTGCGAGGAGAATAAAAAAATCCAATTCAAGAAAAGAACGGTCAAAAAACAAAAATTCTGGTCAACAATATATAACAAATAAGGGTGTCGTTGTACCAGCAAAAACTGTATTGGCTAATCCTTGTTCTGGCAAGAAATGTGGCAATGACTGCGGGTCTCTGTCTGAAGAAAGAAGAGAAAGCTTATTTAATTTTTTTTGGAATCTTGACAAAACACGTCGCCGTGATTGGTTAGTATCCCTGTCTCAAAAAGAAAATACATGTATTAAACGGAAACGCACCGATTCTAATAAGCGCAACTACACTATCAAATATTTTTATCAACGAAGGAGAAGGTAGAAGATTTGTTTGCCAACAATTTTTAGCAGCCACTCTGAACATTTCTGATAAAACAATTTACAGTATAGTAAAAAATGCTTCTTGGGGATGTGCACGAGAAGATATGAGAGGGAAATGTGAGCCACCAAATAAGACTAAAAAATCCACTATAGATACCGTTGACAGGTTCATCAAAAATTTAGCAGCTGTACCTTCGCACTATTGTCGTCAAGACTCAAGCAAAGTTTACCTTCCCCAAGAATACAAAAATGTCACCAACTTGTATAAACTTTACAAGCAGCATTACGTGAGTCAGGGTGTGGACGTAGTAAGTGATAGAATTTTTCGTAAAATATTTCAAGATAATTTTAACATTGGATTCCATGTACCTAAAAAAGATAAGTGCCTTAAGTGTCTTCAATACGAAAATAATAATAATCCCGAAAAGCAAAGAGAAAAGGAAGAGCATGAAACAGAAAGAAGAAGAGAAAAAAGAAGAAAGTTATGCCCGTTTTAAAGTTCACAAAAATATTCATAAGGATGATCCTTCAACTCTTTGTGCTAGTTTTGATCTCGAAAAAGTACTTAACACACCCTATGCACAATCTATGCTTTTGTACTACAGTAGAAAACTAGCTGTGTACCATTTGCGTATTTATGAAAATGGAACCCGTAAAGTTTTCTGTTACTACTGGAATGAGAGCAATGGTAAGCGTGGCGCTAACGAGATTGCATCTATATTACACAAATATATTCAATCGGTAGATGCCAGAGGAAACGTCACTCGATTACTTCTGTATTGTGACTGTTGTCCGGGCCAAAACCGTAACCGTACTGTGTTGGCAATGTTGCATTCATCATTACAGGAGTGTAAAAATATCGACACTATTCAAATAAACTTTCTCTTGACTGGACACACTTACATGCCCGTAGATACAGTGCGTGCTATTATTGAAAACAGATTAAAGAATACAACTGTTTACGCACCATCACAATGGTTTACAGTTTTTGCAACTGCTAGACAAGAACCAGCGCTTTTCGAGGTAGAAAGACTGAGTTATGAAGATTTTTATAGATGGGATAGTATTAGTGACAAATATTATAAAGGCAACTTAACTGGAAAAATAAGCAAGATCCGAATTATGACTTTCAGAAAAGACAAGCAAAGCGTTAAATATAAAACATCTATGAATCCTACTGCGGCTTCCTTTGATATTGAAGTTCAGTCTAAAACCAAGGTATCTCTTTTACCTTGTTATCGATCGCAACTTCCCATATCAAAAGCTAAATATGACGATTTAGTCAAACTTTGCGTGGACAAAGTTATTCCTAATTGCTTTAAACATGAATTTGTGAACATTCCACGCGCAACAAATGTTAAAGATTATCTACCGGATTCAGACATTGAAGATTGTGATATTGTGATATTATTATTTAGATTGAGTAACTAATAAGATCTCAGGATTTTGTTTTATATTGCTATATTTTTGATATGTAAAATATCTTGATTATTTCTAGAGACTGATTATGTTATGAGAATAATAATTATAAGTGTTGTTATTATAATAATTACAGTGATACTTATGATTGTGTCAAATATTTTCACGCTTTGCACAGCAGGTTGATCTTGCTGTTATTTTGTATTTATTTGGTTTGTTTACTATGTTTAATATTTTATTAATAATTAATTTACTCACAATTGTGAGTTATATTTTTTTTGAAGTGAGTTATGGAGATGATAGTGTAATTATAATTGCGACAGCAATAATAATTGTTCAATTAAAAAATATATTGATCTCAGAGTGAATTTTATGTGTCATAATTAGTTTCCTTATTAATTTTGTATGGTTGGCACTACGTAGCGTATTTGTTTAATTTTCAATAAAGACTTCTATTCAATAATAATTGATTTCATTTATTTTGGTGCATTATAATATTTACCTACAAAGTTCTTCGTTAAATGTAAGTTACAAAGGGAGGTTTGGGGTAATTTTAATAACTAAGATACATTTTCCACAATCACAAAAATCATTAAATGCTTAGGCAAACTTACTTGATTTATTTTAAACTTACAGATCTTTTTAGATCAATCTTTCTGTATCAAAATTCTAAACTCAGTAAGTTTACCTATTTTGACATATTACTGCACACACTACAGTGACGATTTAGATAATTTTACCTGTTTATCAAATCAGGTCAATTTTATCTAACCGACACAAACCGGTGTTTGTAAAAGCGTCAGGTGTCTTATTTTGACAATTTGGATAGCTATGAAAAAATTATTTCTACAGTGTTATTATCATTTTGATCTAACAATTAGGTGATTTTTTATGATTTTTTTTTAAATATTTGAACTTTAAATCATTCTCCTGTAAAGTTTATTCAATGTCGCTTAGTGAGGGTTGCCTTTCAAGCGTCGATATATATATATAGTCACGGGTTATATATTATAGTAGTGTTGCAAGCGGCACACCAAGTTGTACAAAGGCAGATTTGGCCTTCCTTTCCAAATAACTGAGGACATTTTTCTCACCCGGCTTCGTTTAACAAAGACTCGAGTTTAGTTTTAACAGTGGTAGAGCCACGTGGTAGCTTCTGCTGTTGTACGGATGAGCTGACTTGAACCGTGGAAGTACCACGACCCCTAAGAATAGCTTCTGCGTCTCGCTTGGTTATAGTTGGTTACAGATGGCCGTAGGCCCAACTCTGCTCCCCCCTGCTGGTACCTCTACGAATACCACACATGGCAAATAGAGCGATAAACCATGGCGATTTCTGATACACTAGCCGTGGACTTCTGCAATATCAAGTGACTTCACTCGAACTTTAACGCTGTTCACTACCATTAAGAGATGGCGAAGCTGGCCTTTCTCTTTCTACTGAGACGCAGGTGTCCTCTCCAGCTGATAATTCGTACCTTTCCCACCTGGTTTAAAAATTCGAACCTTCCGCGCGTCTACGGATGCCTATAGGTCCCATAGCAGTAATACACCCACACCGACTCATCTACTACATCCAAATGGCTACAGATTCCTTGCTACAACAGATACCATTCGCAGAGACTGTTATACTAGGCGATTTTAACGCCCACCATGCTGAAAGTCTTGTCTTTCAAGCTTAACCGATCATGCGGGAAGATCTGTGCATGTTTGGTGTTCAGGGAGTGGAACTATTGATTGCATCATCTGTGGTACCCATCTCGCCTCTGTTCGTTCTCTTCTCACCTTGGTTTGATCGCTATCGTAAGACTGCATTACGCAGTAATCAGGATTGTTATCAGGCCTGGGCTGGCGCTTCGATGGCTCGGGATGTAAACACTAGCATCCTTAAAAAGAAAAATAACTTTACCTTCACGTCCTTCAAAAGAGTTATTGCCAAGGTAAAGTATAAGTATATTGTGAGAAATCAGTTCACCTTCCTTCGGAAACCGTGCATTCTGGTTGCTCCCCAGGGCTGACTAAGGTAATTTCTGAAAGCCATCATTTACATCTCTGCACAGGGAGGACGACTCACTGGCCTATGCCGCAAAAGACAAAGCCGACCTTTTAGACTCCCTTTTTGTGTTCAACTTGACTCTTGATGACGGGAGGAACACACTGCCGAACATCCTGTGGCGTGAGTGCTTTATGTCTAATGAGCGATTCAAACAGTGCTCAGAACGCAAAGTACACCTCCCCATGGAAATCTACAAGTCGAGTGGGCCTGTCGGAATCCCCTCAATTGCGCTGAAAACGTGTGCCCTAAAGTTATCACTGGTTCTACTGCGTCTTTTCCGGTACTCATACTTTCTAGGCGTAGTACCAAATTCATGGAAGACAGCTTTTGTTCAACCGATCCCTAAAAAAGGCAACCGCTCTGATCCATACAACTACAGGCCCATTGCAATAACTCCATGTTCTCGAAAATAATGGAGTCCATTATTAACTGTCAGCTTATGCGGTACCTTGAGAAGCACCAGCCGATTAGTGACCGCCACGCCAGTACGGTTTTAGTAGGGGCCGCTCAGCGAGTGATCTTCATATTTACCTAACACACAGATGGGCGCAGGCGGTCGAGTCCAAAGGGGAGGCGTTGGTGGTTAGTCTGGACATAGCAAAAGCCTTCGAACGGGTTTGGCACAAAGCGCTTCTTTCGAATCTTCCTTCTTATGGGCTTACCGAGAAATTGTGCAGTTGGATCACCAGTTTTCTGACTGTTCGAAGCATCAAGGCCGTAGTAGACGGTGCATGCTCCGATTACAAGCATATTAACGCTGATGATCCACAAAGCTGAGTGCTATCACCAACGCTGTTTCTTCTGCATATCAGTGATAAGTTGCAAACCGATAACATTCACTGCTATGCAGATGACAGCGCTGGTGATAATTTATAAATTGGCCGTGCCAATATTTGAACAAAAAAAATTAGAAAAACGTCGCCGAGTACGGAACAAACTTGTATCTGAAGTCGAGACTGCTCTTACAAATTTTAGGATCGGGGGTGACTAAATCTTGTCCAGTTAAATACTCAGAAGGAACATTTGCGCGTTTACCGCCATAAAGTCTGGTGGACTTTACGCGTAATTTTATTAATATTTTACATGCAAACGCGCGGTAATTTATCGTATTTTTTATAGGATAGGGTGACAAACGAGCACGCAGTCCACCTGATGGTAAGTGGTTGCTGTGGCCCATAGACATCTACATCTGTCCTCGAATACGAATCAAAATCCAGATGCGTTGTCACCCGTGAGGACTAACATGGAATGCCTCGTTTCCAGTAAAAAGGGTCTCCGGTTTTCTACACTCGCCATACGAAACACAACAGCATTAAGCTACTATTTTACGCTGGTATTCTGTGAGAGCGTGTTACTTCCCCGGTCGAGCCGACCCATATGTGCTACAACTATACTACTAATAGTTGTACACATATATAACTGCAGCATGGCTCTACCACATATAAAATTTCCTCAGTTTCAAGGAAATTCCACTTGTTTCCTCAGCCAGTTATAGAATCCTCGTCATCTACATATTGAATGACGTGCAGTTTTGTGGTCACTTATATTAACAGGCCAAATTGACCACTAAAAAGCTTGGCATGCTTAGCAGAGTGGGACAGTATTTCATGCCGCCACACCGCCTGCAATTTGATAAGGTGCAGGTTTGGCCTCGCATGTAATACTGTTTATATTTCTGAGCTGAGGCTCCCCATTGCCAGCTTTCTCCGTTTGATCGCATCGAGTACAGAGCGGTTCGAATCGTCGACGGCCGAGTTCTTTTTGATTGGCTTGATTCACAGCGCTGCGAAGAGATCTTGCATCTTTTTGCGTATTCTATCGTTTCTACCATGGGGACTGCTCAGAGGAATTGTTCGCACTAATTCCAGCCATTCAACTTCACCATCGCACAACAAGGAAAAACTCGATATATCATCTATGGTATGCCATCTGGATGATTGGATCATAAATATATATTATATTAATAATTTATGATAATGTATTATATACAATAAAAGTTTGAAAATTTCCTTGGTGTTACTATTTCTTTTAATTAACCTTAATAACTAAATTCTTAAACTAATGTAAATATTATTAAACAAAACTCGTGTAGTGGCTTGGAAAATACTAACTCTTTAAAGGGGGACGCCCATTTTCGGCCATGGAACGCCCAACAATGTGAATTTGTTAAAAAATTATATCTTTATTTATGGTTATTAATCGCGGTATTCATTTATCCTCAAACAATGGGAATATTTTTGCACAAAGGGAGGGAGGGATCGCTATATTATGACATTCGTTTCTCATCATTCTTCTCAAAACCTATTTTTCAACGGTGAATTTCCGGTTTTAAAGTAAAAATACTCATAAATTACCGAAGGCTGATATTTAGCTGATTTGCAGTCTGTACACATCATCACTATCCTTTTTTATTTTATTAACACGTTCTCTGCCGGTAGTATAAAAGACGAAAATCACAAAAAAACTTTTTGGTGGAAATATAAGCGTTAGGTCAAAATATACATTTTTATATATGAAGTGTTTTGATCTGCAACTGGATTCCGTAGATATTTCAAAAAAATTTCGTGAGGTCATAATTGACCTACGCGGCGCTGTAATAATTAAAAGTGAATATTCGTTATGGAGGTGCCGGGTAGGGCACGCCTCCGGTCACCCCCACACCTCAGTCGTCTGTAAGCGTTGGGCCGAACGGTTGAGTTGGTGTCTGTGAACGTTTTTATTTACTGAAATGGATATATCCGATCTAGACTTTGACTTAGATATTTACCAAAAAGACTTACAACATATTGAAGCACTAGAATCTAGTATTTTTAGTGAGATACGCAATTTTTCCGAGGAAGAAATTAGTAACGATGCTATCCTACCAACAAAAAAACGTTACCGTCGTGTGATTGGAAGTAGCTCCGAAAGTGAATCGGGGTCGGTTGAAAATTATATCTCTAATCAAATTGCTCGTATAGAAAAAACATCTAATTCAGTACAAAAATGGACACGACCACGAGGACATCAACCATCCGTCATAGCATTCACGAAACCAACTGGTAAGTGCTAAGTACTTTTTTAACCGACTTCAAAAAAGGTTCTCAGTTTGACCTGTATGTATGTCTGTCTGTGATTATCTCGCGATAATTTTATTTTGGGGCCAGTTGGCTTGCGCGAAATTGTCCCTCATATTATTTAATTCTTGCTTACAGGTATGAAGCAACCATATGCGAGAGAATTGAAAAATAGTGCAGCGGGAGAATATTTCAGTGTTTTGGTCCCAGACAGTCTTTTTGAGACGATTGCAAACGAAACAAATTTGTTTGCACAGCAATCGCTATCAAAAACCTTAAAACCTAAGTCTCGAGCAAATGAGTGGAAACCGACATCAAAAGATGAGATTAAACAATTATTTGGGTTAATCCTGTACATGGGACTGGTGAAACTTCCTCAAATAAATTTATACTGGAGTAAAGACAGGGTGTTCGGGCAACATTTTCCAGCCACTGTTATGAGCAGGAACCGATTTGAATTGCTTTTGAGAATGATTCACTTCACTGATAATGAGACAGCGGGCAAATCCGACAGAATTTTTAAAATTCGACCCCGACCAAAGCTTTGAACGAAAATTTTAAAAAATTGTAAGCCCCAAATGAAACCATATGTGTCGATGAAAGCCAAGTAGCATTTAGAGGGCGCATAATTTTCCGCCAGTATAATAAAAGTAAACGACACAAATATGGCATGAAAATGTTTAAGCTTTGTACTCTCCTGGGATACACCTGTAAGTTACAACTATATGCTGGTAAAAATGATGAAATGGTTAACACAACACCTACAAATGTTGTTATGTCTCTCTGTGATGACATATTAAATTTGGGTCATACAATTGCCACCGACAAATCAACGACTGAACCACGACACCCACCTAATTGGAACAATTAGAAAGAATAGAAGGGGTTTGCCAATGGCAGTAGTCGAAGCTAAACTGGAAAAAGGCGAATCCATAGCTATGGAGAATCAACGGGGTATAACTGTTCTCAAATGGAAGGATAAGCACGACGTCTTAGTGCTTTCGACGAAACACTCAAATGGCAAGCGAACGGTTCTAAAGAAAGGTAGAGCTATTAAAAAACCAAAAATTATACTTGCCTACAATGAAGCAAAAAGTTCAGTCGATATGAGTGATCAAATGACTTCATACTCATCACCACTCATAAAAACTGTGAAGTGGTACAAAAAGCTAGCCATTTAGCTTATTTTAAACACAGTGCTGGTGAATGCTTGGATTATGTATAAAGAGAACAAAAACACTAATCAGGGTATAGTGCAATTTAGGCGTCAGTTAGTCGAGTATCTTGTGGATTCAGGAGTCGATAAAGAAAATTGTGAACAGCAGCAGGAGAGACCTAAAAGAATGAAACACGAATTGCTGAAAAGAGAGGGACCTGTTGCTAAATTGAGACGGTTCTGCGTCGGTTGCTACAAAGAAAATGTTAAAAATCATGGGTCAAAAGTCACTCGGAATAAAACTAAAAAAGTAGTTACATACTGTAAGAACTGTCCTCGTACAATATATTATTGCCTACAATGCTTCAATAAATCTCACCGTTATTTGTAAAGGTTTTTTTTTAATAATGTAGTAGCTAACTGTTCAATAGTTATTACAAATAAACACGATTCATAATGGATGCCTTTGTTTTTTCTTAATTGCTTTGCAATTTCACCCACATTTTCAACAAATTTACGATTACTCAGAAACCACACTGAAGGATTGGTCTACAGCGCCATTCCGGTCACCTGCTATAGAGAAATGTTCGGTAATAATGGCCTACGGCTCACAAATCAGTTTCAAACTTAGGTCTACCTTGAGGTCACTGATGCCCTACGCGGCGTCTCGATCTAGTTCAGGTGAGGTCACCGATGACCTACGCGGCAGAGAACGTGTTAATTAAGATTTCTGTCTTGGAACGTTGGTTATCAAGCCTGGTCTTCATTTCATTTGGGATATTCGTTTATATAACGTTTTCTTTACAATAAGCTGATGGTGCCTAAGCGATCGAAAATAACTTAAGGTTTATAGCAACATCGAAGCAATTTCCCGTGGTTTTCTCTAATAGCTTACATGACACTCAATACACAAGATCGCATCACTTTTACATGTCAGAATCCACTTCAAACCATTATTTAAACCAGTGATTCCCAAAGTGGTCTATATCGACTCCTAGGGGTCTATGACAACCTGCAAGGGGTCTACCTCAGCGAAATAAATTTGGGGGTCCATGAAATGAAAATAGGGGATCACGATAGTGGATCTCAATACATTCACTGATAGTACCTATTTACTTACATCATACTATCTTATAATATTAAAACTTATACATTATTTATAAAAGTACCTATGAAGTAAAAAATTTATTATATATGTTTATAAAATTGTGTAAGTTGTAGGATGTTGGTATTCGCTTTGTGGTCGCAATACATTTTGAACTTGTAAAAACCTGAGAGTCGCAGTCTCAGAGCTTCGCTACCTTGCACTGACTTGTTCAATTCGTCACTCTATAAATACGAATGTGGGACAAATACGTTTATTCGTTTCCTGAATCTTGAAAAGGAAAGTGCTAAGAAAATATTTAAAAAAATATAAACAGATAGTATATCACACAAATTATAGTGAGTCAGTGTTATTTTGTTTGAGAGTGCTGGAGAAAAGTAAGTGACCATGGGTGTGGAAAGCGGTCGGGAATAGTATAGACGGTGTACATTATTTTTTATTAAATTTTATTTTGTACTCCTAAATAGCAAGGATAGATAAATTACGCCAATCATGACTTTAGTTATTAGTAGTTTAATATTCAATCATACAAAATTACACGAGTATTCCTCAATAGTTTCTTTTTGAAAGTTTTAGCAATCGGTATTATAATTACAGTGCAATCTCCGTAATTCAAGCTAATTGTTGCAAGAAGATCTTAGAAGAATTATGGAATGTTTTTGTAAAAATCAAAAAATATTTTTAATATACAGCTGCTGGATTTTCTGTCTTATTTAAATAATTTAATTTTGCCAACAGATGACTGATGCCATGTCCGAATCTAAAAAGAAATGTAGACAGTACAGTGTCGATTATTTGAAATTTGGCTTCATTCCATCATTGCCGGACAAACAATTGCCTGTGTGCCTTTTATGCAACAAAGTTTTGGACGCTATGAAACCATCTAAACTGCAAGATCATCTGAGAAGATGCCACCCTGATAAAACAGAGAAAGATTTGAAAAACTTTCAAACACTCAAAGATAAACTTCAGAAAAGACCTACACTGGACAGAATATTCGGTTCGACGTCACAAAGAAATGATGATGGTTTGCGGGCGTCTTACAATATCTCGTTACTTATAGCAAAATCCGGAAAACCGCATACTATCGGAGAGAAGTTAATTTTTCCAGGCGTTGAAGAGGTTTTAAAAATTGTTTTACACAAACCTGCATCTGATATAATTAAAAGAATTCCCTTAAGCAACAATACTGTTAAAAGACGTATTAATGAAATGAGTTCTGATATTGAAAGCTTCTTATGTAATTATTTGCAAACGACCTATTTCTCTATACAACTGGACGAGTCAACTTTCCTACGTTGGACGTTATCGTGGATTTATAAGCTATTTAAAACAAAATGTGTCAGGGGTTATAGCAATACATTGCGTCATCCATCGACAACATTTAGTTGCTAAAAATTTGAGTGTTAGATTGCATGAATCACTTCATTTAGTCATTGATGCAGTAAACCGAATCCGAAGTAACGCGTTGAATACGCGGTTATTTGCGCAGTTGTGTGAAGAAAATGACGAACACTTTCATCAATTACTCCTTCACACTGAAGTACGCTAGCTGTCGAAAGGCTTATGTTTGATAAGATTTTTTGCACTTTTTGAGACTATTTTGGAATTTCTGGATACTAAACATAAAATTTTAAAAGAAAATTTAATGAAGAGGAAAACAGACATCGTCTATTTAACAGATTTGTTACAAAATTTAATATGGTTAATTTGCAATTACAAGGCGACAGTTTAAATTTGATTAAAACAATGTCCATCTTATCAGCGTTTCTTGCCAGAGTTAAACTAATGAAGCAAAATATTGGACGGGGCGAATTTTCTCAGTTCCCCAATTTGTCACAGACAAGCTGCCAGGAAGACGACGTTTCAACTTACGTTCAACATTTAAATGCCCACTATTCAGATTTTGAATCTAGGTTTGAGGATATTTTGACTATGGTAATACCACCGTGGATAATTAATCCATATGGTGACATAGAATAAACGAATGTCATAATACAAGAGGAACTAACTGAACTAAGTACAAACGAAGAACTTAAGGTTCAGTTTAAAAACGGATATCAGAAAATCTGGCTGCAAAACAACATACCCGTTACTTATCCCGTATTATGGAATATAGCGAGGAAATTTTTAATTTCCTTTCCATCGTCATACCTAGTGGAAAGGGGGTTCAGCGCTGTTACCAATCTCCTAACGAAAAAAAGAAACAGACTGGACATCATTAGCCGAGGAGATTTAAGATTAACCCTTACAAAATTAACGCCAAATGTTGATAATTTATTATTAAAGCATCAGGTTCATCTTTCTCACTAAAAATATTGACTTATTGCTAATGTTATTTTATTTACAGTTTATTTTATATTTATTTAATGCTACGTATATTTTATAACAGATACAAAATTTTATTTTGAGTAGTTTTAATTTAAATTCAATTAATAAATGTATAAATTAACATGTGTTTTTACCTTAAGTTTTTAACACTAAACTTCACTACAGTTAGAAATTTACAGGAAATCAATATCAGGTAAGTAGGTGGTCTACACAACACGGAAAAACATGGCAAGGGGTCTACGACACAAAAAAGTTTGGGAAATTCTGATTTAAACGATAAAATGGGAGCAAAAATCCATCGACAGGCAAGTTCCCGCCAAACTCCTCACTATCCTCTATTTTTTTATTAATTAATATTGCGCTATAAAATAGTACTTCTTATTTTTGGCTTGGATAATTGTTATTTAGGTCATGTCTTCGTTTTTATAGATTGTATCTTTTTTTTATTTGAAATTGATTTAGAATACAAACAAAGCCACGCGGCAGCTATATTATGGTTGTAACACGCATGGGTCGGCTCGATCGGGAAAGACCACGTTCTCAAAGAATACCAGCGTAAAATAGCAGCTTAATGCTGCTGTGTTTCGTATGGTGAGTGTAGAGAACCGAAGACTGATTTTACTGGAATAGAGGCATTCTATCTTAGTCCTCAGGGCTCAACTCAGGGTCAACTCATTTGCATTTTTATTCTTAATCGGGATTAAATGTAGATGTCTAATGGCCACAGCATCCACTTTCCATCATGTGGACTATGTGCGATTGTCACCATTATTCTATAAAAAATCTATAAAAATATCATTCCAATAATTATTTTATTTTATTCACATTTTTAGACATGAAGGTAATAAAATTAAATAACTAAACTTCGATAACTAAACAAAAACGAGTATATTGATGTCGATTGTTGCTAACATTGCGAACGTAACCACTACAAATTAAAAACGTCATGTCTTGTAAAGTAACGTCACATATAATAAATTTGCGTCTTAAATTGCAGAAAACGCAGAAAACGCTTTTGTACTTGCTCAATCCTATCCATATCATCATCATCATTACAGCCCTTCACAAGTCCACTGCTGAACATAGGGCTCCCCCAAGCAATGCAACAAAGCACGGTCCTGAGCCACCCGCATCCATCGACTTCCTGCATGTCTTACCAGGTCGTCACTCCATCTAGTGGGGGGTCGCTCTACACTACGCCTACCGGTACGAGGCTGTCACTCGAGAACCTTTCTTCCCCATCGGTTATCGGTTCTTCGAGCTGTATGGCCGGCCCATTGCCACTTCAGCTTACTAATCCGTTGGGCTATGTCGGTCACTCTGGTTTTACTGCGGATATCCTCATTTCTGAGTCTATCACGCAGAGAAACTCCGAGCATAGCCCTCTCCATAGCTCGCTGAGCGACCTTGAGCGTCCTCATACGGCCAGCAGTGAAGGACCACGTCTCTGATCCGTAAGTCGTCACTGGGAACACGCACTGGTTATACACTTTAGTTTTCAGAGATTGAGGTATACCTGACGAGAAGATGTGTCGTAATTTCCCGAACGCTGCCCAGCCGAGTTGAATCCGTCGATTGACCTCTCGGTC